GGAGGCTTCACGAGGCACTGAAACAAAACAAGCTTTTTGAAGGGGCAAAACAGTAACACAGCAACAACTGCACTAATTGCACCATAATGGGGTGGGGGGTGGGGGGATGGGTGGGGGGCAAACACTGAAACACTAACACAATAATGCAGTATATAAGCACAAACAAGCTCTTGGTTAATCATTGTTGTTCAAATATCAGTTAAGCAAACACTGAAACACTAGCACAACAATGCAGTATATAAGCACAAGCAAGTTCTTGGTTAATCATTGCTGTTACGCCCCAACTAAACTAAAGGAGCCATTTTGCATATGAAAATTAGGTCATTGTATCAATTGTTTTACATTTAAAAAAAGAATCAGTTGCGGGCTCAGTTTTCTGAAGTAATCAACACGTTTATACTCCAGAATCAGCTAATTCTAAGAACAAAATCAACCAAAAAAAGAAACGAGCCTATAGAACTACTACCTCTGGCTCTTCTGTTGTCCATGGAAGACCTTGTGCAATTGGAATCCGGTTATTCTTGTCTTCTTCCTCCATCTGCTTTAGTTTGTTATGAAATTCTTCCTCCTTATACCTTCCTCTTTGCTGCAGAAGAGTGAAGTACCACAAGGTTTCCATGAAGATATATGATTACAAACTTATAACAACTTCAAATGGCGAATGAAGTTAGAAACTTAAAATTTAAAGAACCTCAGTTCTAAGATTGAATGGCTTCTGGAAGGTTGGTTTAAGTTGCCTTCTCTTTTGGTGCCTTCTAGAAGCAACCCCAAACGATTCCGAACTCTAAAGATTTTTAAATAACAAATTAGATTTTTTAAAAAAGTGAAAGAACAAACAAATAATAACGTCTTCTGATCTCCATTCAAGGTGAAGAAGGGTAGTCAACTCACATTACGCCTACTCTTTCGTCCTTCAGATATCTGGCTTGAAGTTCTTGAATTTGGGAAAACCAAGAAAAGTATAATTAGAACTCAAGAATGGAGGTTCGATATGGAATTACGAAAATAATCAATCAAGTAGTTATCACTGACCTTCCATGGCTGCTATCGAAAGAAAGTGAGCCCTGTGAACACATGCCTAGACTTTCACGGGTGAGTACACAAACTGATGGGTGAAAGGAAGAAGATGGACAGTCCCTTTGGCTAGAAAATTCTAATTTAAACCCCCTTTTATGATCTTCTTCCTCCTCAGTACCATTGGGAATTTTGAGAAGTTTCTCAAAAGCCTGAACCAGATTCATCACTTTTCCAGAACTATGTTGAGCCACAGCCACATTCTCCCTCTCCCCACCATCTCCTAACAACTCGTCCCTACTTCTCTTCACGCCCATTTCACCGATCACCTTGTGTGCGTTCGACAATTCCAAATTACAGTAACCATCCACAGTGTCTTTGTTGCTATTCCCATCCTCTAATTCGTTACTTCCGTTCTCAGCCCCAACGTGCATATCAGTTTCCTCGCAGCCAACTGATCGGAGACTTTTGAAGAACTCTTCGTGCGAAGCCCTAAGAGACTCATAAGCTACGCACGAACACTTCCTCCCGCCGCCCTTTCCGCACTTACAGGCCACCAGCTGTGACGCTTTCGAAGAATCATTGCTCTCCTTCTTCGACTTCGGATTCCGCTTGGCCACCACGAACTTCCTCTGCCGAATCTTCTTCTGCAGCGGCGACGGAGAAGAAGCCGATTTTGATGATTTCTTCGCTGAATTGGCGATTGATGGAGAACTGGTGATCTTCGAACCGAAATCCGCCGGATTTGGGCTTTTCTGGGCTGATTTCGAAGCTTTCATCGCGGATTTGGTGATCGAAGGAGAGCAGGGGATCTTTGAACCAGGGCTTGATGTATTGGGATCGATGTTTTCCGAAACTCCAATGGATTTCCTGTTCGACTCCATGAGGGTCGCCGGAAAAAAGACCGCTCTATATCACCGGAAACGGTTATAATGACTGCCTAAAGATTGAATACTGAGAATTCGCAAGTAACGGCTACTTCTTACTTCTAGGCGCTCGTGCTCCGTCGTTCCGTTTGAATTCGCAAAGAGAATGATTTACCCAATATTTAAAGGCCTGTTTGGGGTGTAAATTTTCACATCAACCATGCTACAATTACACCAAAAAGTGTACTCCAAAATTAAACCAAAGATATACACTAACATTTTGATAATTTACACTGACACAAAATTTCGTTAACAAAAATTTACACTAACATTTTGTGTTTGTGTGAATTATCACCCTAACATTACACTGCCACAAAATAAAAATGCAAATTTGCCGTGTACAAATTGGAATACAAATAGCTTATGGTATGTTTGAGAACATGAATTTGGATTTCAAATCAGGATTTGACTCAAATTCCATGTTTGAGAAACTTACAAATTTTGAATTTAGATTTGAATCATATTCTTCTCACTCATAACAAAGCTTAATTTTAAATCTGTGTGTCTCCCCTTGTCATTTGGAATTCAAGATTTCAAATTTTGAAATTGAAATATATGAATTGAAATGAAATACTAGTTGTCAAACACTACCTTAATCCATTTTCATATTTATTTTACAAACCCGAATCATCTAATAATGATTATACGTGGATCTTGTAATAATAAAATGACCCAATTATTGTGTGAAAATGTTTGTTTTTCAAATATGAACCTTAAAATCACAATAATACAAGTTCTTGGCATGAATTGATATGATATAGGTTCTGAATTTTTTTAAAAAATAATATATACTCTATATGTTAATAAAATTTGAAATTAAATTATTTTGAGTGATTTAAAACCATGTTTTAAATTGTGATAGGTAGTGTGGCCAGCAACAATTACATAATGATATATCTTAAATTTCAAAGATATCAAAATTTTATGTTTGGAGAATTTGTAATATATGGAGATGTCATATTTAAATTCCTTTTATGTTTTACCAGCTACCAAAAAATAGGTCTGATATAAAGAAATATCAGAATTTATATATCTTGCCTTCACCAAACATGCATAAATGTAAAATCTACTCAAAATGTGTACTCCGTATTTACTATTTAATCCTAAAAAAGATTGTCACTTTTTGAAATGGAAACTTGACACAGCTTAAGTTTACATGGTTTGATATTTTTTTAAAAAATAGTAAGCGATTGAAATTTATTTTGATGAAAAAATTATATGAAACATATTTTTTGAATTTATTAGGGAAGTAGAGAATATAACATTTTTTGGGACATTGAAAAAGAAAATGAGACGATAGATGAAGAGAGTATTAATCTGAAGTGGCAATTTGAAGTGAGATTGCTCGTATCTTATGTCATAATCTTGCAAATGATTGAAGATATATCTAATACGGAGTACGTTGTTTCTGAGTATAGTAGTTTGATGGAGTCATTCACTTATTATACGTTTCGTTTTGTTTATTGCAAAAAAAAATACAAATTAAATAATCATAAACTTTTAAAATACAAAAGAAATCATAGTCTTTAAATTGAACAACTTAGAGTCTTAAAATTCAAAACATGATTTGAATAATGCTCCTCACCCCCAAAAAGTTATAATTTGCTTTTTATGAAATTGCTACATATATTGACCATTAATATTTTTTTAAATAAACAAATGTTATAAAAATTTGATACATAACAAAATTATATTTTAAAATGCGTTTAATTGTATTAAATTGGCATTATAAGTATATATATTTTTTTCTATTTGTGACTAAATTTTGTAAAACTTGACCGAGAAAGTCAAAATGTAAAAAAAAATATGGGACAAGAGAAGCAAGTGAATAGCTAAAATCCAAAAGTATTGAACGGTAGAGCTCACAAGTTCGAACACATACATTTTGTATTACATTATAAGTCATTGTTCCAAAATGATTTACACTTTTTGAGTTACGATACAAAACCTCATTCTCGTTGATTCATTCTATTTATAAATAGGTATATAAATAATAAAAAAAACTCAACTTAAATTTTAAAACACTGCATCAAAAGTTATGCAAAATAAAAAACGATAAAAACATTTTATTTTATCGAATAATAAATGAAATTACACAAATAAATAAAGATTTTCCAAAGATTAGAATTAAAAAAATAAAAAATGGAATAAAACAAGTGAAGAAGACAATAGTAGGAATAATCACACGTTACCTAAACGATTTCCCTTATTACCTCTTCTGCCCTGTCACTGTTCTTCCTCTCTAATGGCTACCAATTTTCTAGATCTGTAACGGGTAACCACCATATAAGCATGTCCCCGCCATTGTAGCCCCTCACATTCCGCCTCTCTCTGTCTGTCATTCTCACGCTCTTGCATCTTCTCAACGCCCAACGAGCCATCTTACAGGTGATCTCTCTGTACCTATTGCATGCTTCATTTCATCTGCGAGCTATATGCACATGTAGATTGGCTTTCGTTGTGAAATGATCTTTCCCTGAAACACGGTTGTGTCGAAATCGTACGGATTCGTTACTTTTGGGAGGGAATTATGTTTGTTTATGCTTTGTGGTTGATGCCCTGATCTCTTGTTCGTTGCGTAATTGGTATCTGTGTTCATTGTGTTTTGTTACATCTGCATGCATAGTGTTTGATCTGGAGCCTTTAGAGGTTGAATTTGAATGCAATGTTGCTTCTTAGATCTGGACGGAATTTGTGCAAAAAACATAAAAAAAATTGTAGCCTTGGCTTTTGTTGTTTTTGTTTAGGGCCATTTGGTTTACTAGATAAGAAATGAGGGTTGGAAAATTTGCATTTAGGTATGGCAGATCTCATTGCTTGTTTGGTTTGTATTCTGAAACCAAAGTAGGAGTAAGGTGAGGTCGATCTCGGTGAGGTTGAGAGCCGAGAGGGAGGTCGGTTGGAGTCATTAAGCATAATAAGTACCTTTTTGGGTAATGATCAATGAAAGCCTGCTGCCAGAAACTTTGTGTATCCTCCTTGGATACAAGGCTTATGAAATGTTTCTTGACTTCACACTCCCAACATCATATGGACTATATATAGGGAAATTCTTTGGTACGGCAAGCCATTTGTACATTTTAGTTTTGGATATACTTGAAATATTTTAAATCTGCAGAGCTTTGTAATGGTGAAGATATGCTGTATTGGTGCTGGATATGTGGGCGGTCCCACCATGGCCGTGATAGCATATAAGTGCACCGAGATTGAAGTAGCAGTTGTCGACATCTCTGTGCAGCGGATTAGTGCATGGAATAGTGACCAGCTCCCGATCTACGAGCCAGGCCTTGACGACGTAGTCAAAGGGTGCAGAGGAAGGAACCTCTTCTTCAGCACAGATGTGGAGAAACATGTGTGCGAGGCCGATATTGTCTTTGTTTCTGTCAACACCCCCACCAAGACACGTGGTCTTGGGGCTGGCAAAGCTGCAGATTTGACATATTGGGAGAGCGCTGCTCGCATGATCGCCGATGTATCAAAGTCTGATAAAATTGTGGTGGAGAAGTCCACAGTCCCGGTTAAAACAGCTGAGGCCATTGAGAAAATCTTGACTCACAACAGCAAGGGGATAAAGTTCCAGATCCTCTCTAATCCTGAGTTTCTTGCTGAAGGTACCACTTTTATTGATAATGATATGAATTGAAACTTACTATCACCTCATGATTTCATTAGTTCGGTTTTGCCATTTCAGTTTTGAAAATGCAATTATAAAACTGAACAGAATAGCTGAAGTCCATTTTAGTTAGGTCAGTTTTAGTCGTTTTTGTCTGTTTCGGCCAGTTTTAGTTTGCTTAGGTTTGCGTGATCGGTTTATTCGGTTATAAAGCCTAAATTTTAAATCACAAACTACACCATCTACTTTTAGCTCCAGGCTGATGTTTTATATGTCTGGCATTCCAATGTCTGATTATTCTCATTGCTATTTGATGCTTATTGGTTATCCAATCCATAAATTGACTAAACATCAATTTGATTTTATGTTTATTGCATAATAGTTTAGTGCTTATCCCGCTCATTGCCAATGGAGCTAAAAGAGTCATTGATAATTTTTTAGTTTCTGGCACATAGTAGACTAAATCGAAATGGCACATTAGACTTCCTTAGCTTCTTACTCTCTATGAACTTTTTGACAGTAAATGCAACAATGCATCTAGGGTCTTAAGGAAAACAACTCCATTGCACCTCAGTCGGTGCATTGGACTTTGCAGCAGTCGTGGTTTTTGCTGGTTGGTTTCATAGTCATAAAGCGGCCCTAAAATTGGCTTTCTCTTGTTTACAAGGGACTGCGGACATCTTGACCCTTGACCCCAACAAAGTTGTGATTATGTTGGGTTGTGATTTTTATTGCTTATTATACAAAGCTTATTGTTTATGGAATAATCAGTGCCAAACAGGCTCACTATTTTCTACACTTTAACAGGTACTGCCATTGAAGACCTGTTCCAACCCGACAGGGTCCTCATCGGAGGTCGGGAGACCCCAGAAGGCAATAAGGCAGTCCAGACCCTGAAGGAAGTCTATGCCCACTGGGTCCCGGAGGAGCGCATCATCACCACCAACTTATGGTCTGCTGAGCTGTCAAAGCTGGCAGCCAACGCATTCCTCGCGCAAAGAATATCCTCTGTCAACGCCATGTCAGCTCTGTGTGAGGCGACCGGAGCGGATGTTTCCCAGGTGTCGTACGCTGTTGGCAAGGACACGAGGATCGGTCCCAAGTTCCTCAGCTCCAGCGTCGGGTTCGGCGGCTCCTGCTTCCAGAAGGACATCCTCAACCTCGTCTACATCTGCGAATGCAACGGGCTGCCCGAAGTGGCTGAGTACTGGAAACAGGTCGTCAAGATAAACGACTACCAGAAGAGCCGGTTCGTCAACCGCGTCGTTTCCTCCATGTTTAACACCGTATCGAACAAGAAAATCGCCATCTTGGGGTTCGCCTTCAAGAAGGACACGGGAGACACGCGGGAGACTCCAGCCATTGATGTCTGCAAGGGGCTTTTAGGGGATAACGCCCAGATAAGCATATACGACCCACAGGTGAGCGAGGAGCAGATCAGGAGAGACCTGACGATGAACCGGTTCGAGTGGGACCACCCGCGGCACCTCCAGCCGGCGAGCCCCGGCGCAGAGAAGAAGGTGAGCGTGGTGTGGGACGCGTACGAGGCGACAAAGGGGGCCCACGCGGCGTGCATTCTGACGGAGTGGGACGAGTTCAAGGGGCTGGACTACCAGAGGATGTATGAGGGGATGCAGAAGCCTGCTTTTGTGTTTGATGGGAGGAACATTGTGGATGTGGGGAAGCTGAGAGAGATTGGGTTTGTTGTCTACTCCATTGGTAAGCCTCTTGATGCCTGGATCAAGGACTTGCCTGCTGTTGCTTAGACCCTGTTTGAGATTCAACTGTTCTTTTTTTAATTTTATTTTATTTTGATTTCTTATTTGTAGTAGGGTTTACACAAAGTCCCTTTATTAGTTCCACTTGTGAAAAGGCAATAACTGTTACTCCTGTTATTGTGTTATTATTCTTATAGAGTCTTATACAGTACTTTCACCACAATTGGTTGTGAATTCAGACAACTCTGAATTGAGAGAGTAATAAAACATCGTTTGTTGGCATGTTTGCTCAATATTATTGGCTTATGTGATACTGAGCTGTTAGGATAGACAATATTTGTACTTAAAGATCCACCATGAACATACATATGCTTATTATTTAAATAAGCATCTATTTTTGTAATTAAAAAAATAAAAAAAGGTTTTTTCTATGAAAATGTTTACAAAAATGGTATTCACCTAAGGCGTACCAAAAAAAAAATACTCCATATGGAGTCCAATCACCTATGCATATCGGGACCCACAGTTATATCACAGTATGAGTTTATTTTGTTAATAATGACCTTGTTTGGAAACAATTTTTTTATTAGCATTGTTATTTTAGATAAGATTTTAATGATATATATTACTACACCGTCCCACAAAAAAGTTCTCATTTTGACCATAAATTGGTCAAATAGTTACATGCTTTGACCATAAATTAAATATAATCTAAATAAAGAAATGCTAAAAAAATTTGAGATATCAAAACTAGATACTAAGATAAATCCAAACATATTAAATTTATTTTATAATTCAATATACCCTTTTCACAATTTGTAGTTAAAACGTGTAAATATTTGACTAAATACTATTCAAAATGAGAATTTTTTTGTGAGACGGAGAAAGCATTAAATAGTCTTTTCAAATACTAAAGGTAACATCTTACACTGATGTCAAACGAGGACAATGAAATAATATTATCAATGCCCGAGGAAATTGGGCTTGATCCAAGAGAAAGCCTATAAAGGAAGCTTATACAAACCTTAGAACATCTCCAATCATCATACTTTGGGCTAGCTTCAGTTGAAACATCTGCGGTGCACCGTTCACAATTAATGGCTCCTACCCTCGACACCCCAGTACTGCGGAGCAAGTGGCTCTAGAACCGTTCTGATAATAGTAGTTGTAAAGATGATGATGATGATGATGATGATAATAATAATAAGAAAATTGCATGCAAATAAATTTTAAATCACTATTGAAAAGAACCAGAAGAAGTTAAATGAAACTAAAAGAGTGGAAAGAATTTTGAAAATGTTGGAGAGGTTTGAAGAATTAAATTCAAAGGAATTAGAAAGAGTTGTAAAAAACTAAAAGAAGTTAAAACTTAAAAGGGAACAAAAAATTGGAAAATATTGAACGTTAGGGTGCATTTAGTTGTAAGAAAATATGTGTCTAGATAAATATTCTAGAAGAAAATAATTTTCACAAAAAATCATTCTCCCCAACATATTTTATTGAAACTACGTTGGTATTTAAATAAAAACAAAGATATTTTGAGATAAGTTTAAAATATTTTAGGAGAGCATACTTTATTTTATACACGACTAATTTTGAATCTTTTTATAGTGCTCCATTCTTTGGGGGTAGCGAGGGGAAGGGGTGGCGGGGGCAGATGATGGGGGTGTGGGAGAAGAGGTGAACTCGATCGATGAATTAGAGTATTTGAGGATTGAGAAAAAAAATAAATTTTGATTCAAAACAAAAGAAATTCATTTTCACCTCTCAGAAAAATATTATTCCCAAAAAATGATTTCCTACAACTTATGTAACATAATGTTGGAAAATAAAATTAGATTTTTTCAGAAAGGTGTTTTTCTTTTACCGAAATAGATCCTAAAAATTGTAGAACAAAACATAATTTTAAAAAAATAACTTTTTTTAGAATGAACAATAATTTCACAGTGCAAGTCAAAAAATAGGAGAAAGTAAAAAATCAATGTAGAATGAAAAATATGGGACCCGTTATTTGTTGGCAAAAATTAAACAAGTCTATGAATATGAGTTGCAAACTCCTCATCTCGCCATCAATTGCATTTTCCCATAGCCACATGCCCACTCGGCCGAGTTCACCACCGCCGCCAGTCGTCCGGTCCGCTGTCCGCCGGCCGTCACATCGCCTCTCTCTGCCAGGAAACAGAACCCTAGCCCATTGGTCGCGTGGTGTTTATCCGCCTCTGCGTCGCCGCCTCTGGCCACCACTTCTCCAATTAAAATGTAAGTAATTACGATTTACAGATAATTTTGGATATTAGGATTTAGGGTGTGATTTACTCGATTATTTTGTATTTTATATTAGTTTTTTCTTAATTGTTAGTATGAACTTAGTTAATTGTCAACGCAAAGTTGACATTTGACAAATGGGTTCTCTATGGGCAGTTGGCACGGGTGCCACCCAATGTTTAGGCCGGCAATGTGGTGCGCATGACGGTCACAATTCTTGTTGAGGGTCTCTTTCACTAATTCATCCACCTATGATTCCCACTTAGTTTTATGTTAATGGTGAGATTTTTCCTAAATCTAACGACCTTTTCCCAATGGGTTTTTAATTTACTCATAAATATATAACATAAAAGGTTTAGGGTTTAGCCATTTAGGAAACATAAGCAACAAATTTAATTATTATAATTAATGGTACACAAGTTTTTCTACTTTTCATTTCCGATGAAGTCGGCCAAGGGCTAAATCCTAATAAAAAATGAAAAATTGTGTACCAAGTAATTATAACAATCAAATTTGTTGTTCATATTTCCTAAATGGATAAATTCATTAATGTTAGATTTATTCATATTTTTGTGAGTAATTAAAAAACCATTGAAGCTATTAGATTTAGGAAATGAGTGTGTGTATATATAACTTACTCTCCCAACTCAATGGCCACACATCATTACTTCATTTTGAAACATAAAAAAATTGTCTTTTATAAGGAATTTCAAATTACTACTTTCTTGACGGTGATGATTTGGCTACGTCTACAATGGCAACACCGCAATTGTTGTGGCCGTATGATGTCACATTTCAGGACATTAGTCTCATCGTCACCATAAGCAAGTGGATAGTAGAGGTGGATGAATGAGTGAATGAGATCCTCAAGATTAACCACTTCCGCATTAGAAAAGTCATTGTCAGCCTGGACATCGAGTAGCACCCATGCCAACTGCCTAGGGAGAACCCAGTTGACACGTTATATCTTTGCGTCAAGAAGAGTTGTGTAATTCTCTAGCTTCTCACATGGACTAAATCCCACACCGCTCTTCCCCTTCCTCTTAAACCCTGGCTTTGCCTATGTGGGCATAGGAGTCGAAGGGGGTACCCACTAACTGTTCAAAGATCATGAGCCTGAAATTTTGTCGATTTGTGCATTAAGATGAGTCGGAAAAGAATGGCAAGCCAAATTATAGGGAGAGAAATGCGAAGAATTTGACATTTCAGCAGATAGAATATAGAGCCATAGAAGCATTGGCTTCCTTTATGATCAGATTCACTTTGTTCGTCGGGCTTTCTCACTCTAATAACATCCGTCTATGACTATGTAGAGGAAAACATTTGAATAAGAAAATGTTTTTTGAAGTATTATAAACTGATTGTAATGATAAAAGCTTCTGGAATTTATCTCGAGTTTATATCATTGAAAAAATGCTGTCATAATTTATTCGGATTCAAAAAGTATTTTAGGCTTTTTGTTCTGTCTTGTGGTGATTACTTTTATCCTCAACATGTTTCAGTTTTATTGTAAAAAATCTGTTCTTTTCAACTTATCTCCACTTGAGTTCAATTCCACTTCAGTTTAATAAATACGGGCAATCTATAAGATCAGAATTTTCTCAAGTAATTAAAAAAATGAATTTAGCAAAAAGTTGCGTCTGAAATCACATTTGATAATTTGATGCATGATATATCAAAACAGTCGTCTTACTTAGTAGAACACTTTTCCATTTTTTGATGCATAATACATCATTGTTTCGTTTCCGAACAACATTTGCGATTAATGTTAGTGTTTTGGATAATTTTTTAATAAATAAGATTAAGTTTAAAAATGCACACTTCGAAAAGTTTATGTTGAATTGCATCTTCAAAACTTTTATAAGTTAAACATTAAAGGATTAAAGCTTATTCCAATCCGAGCTGTTGACTAAAACACTATTCGAAGTATGTTGATCTGAATATATGGCCTGAAGTACATCCAACATGAAATCCATTTCCAATCTGAACGAGCCCTTTTCCCAAGGCAAGGTGGCACAACAAGTGTAAGCATGCCACCAAACACATTTATAGTTTCAGCTAATGCGTCAATTTCAGCGGCGAGGTAATGGCTGGTGCAGTTTCTGGATGCATATTCTGTCAAATTGCCGGTGCTTCCACATCCACGGCTCTCCTTCACTCCGTCAGTAACTCTCTTTTATTTTTCACTTTTCATTGCTTTTCCACCATCATCACCTCTCAGCTTCACCAGATCTTCATTTTTGCAGGATGAAAGAGTTTTAGCATTTCAGGATATCAACCCTTCAGCCTCCAGGTTCTCATTATTTAATCCCATTCTTTATGTTGAATAGTTGGAGTTATCCCAAATTGGCTATATATGAATGAATGAACTCCTTAATAAGCATGAGGCAAGCCTCACCTCATGAGAGCTCTTTTGGGGCGCCAAATATCTATTCTCTGCATGGTATCAAAGTCATTTAATCTGACTCTATGACATGACTCATAGTCATGATAATGGGGCACCTATGGAAAACACAAAGAGGAGTGTTGGAGTTATTCTACTTCATGAGAGTTCTTTTGGAGTGAGTCAGGCCAATTTTTTTTCTTTAACAGCTATCACACAGTTCATTTGGATTCATATTAGCTAATACCGAGTAGCCGTTATGTACTCTGTATATTGTAAGGTAGGCTACTGGTAACTACTGGTTGATGTCAAGAAAACTTTTGTCGAAAG